GATGGTCTTCAAGGACAGCCCCATGTAGAGCACATTGCAATAGTCAAGACAGGAAGTGATTAGGGCATGAGTAATCATGAGTAGGGATTGTCAGCCCAGGAAAGGGTGTAACTGGTACACAACCCACAGTTGCACAAAGGCCTTCCTGGCCATGACCGCCACCTGCTCTTCAGCAGGAGTCACGAGTTCAGGAGAATCCCCAGATTATCCACAGGGTCTGTTTGGGGTAGTGCCACCCCATCCAAGACCAAAGGTGACAATTCTCCATGGGCCAAAGAACCCCAAACCCAGAGCCACTCAGTCTTGCCAGGATTCAGTTTCAACCTGTTGTTCCCCATTCAGCCCCTAACAGCCTCCAGGCACTGGAGAGGGAGGACATGGCAATGCTTAACTTACCACGGTCTAAGACATATAGCTATAGTATCATCAGCATATTGATGATAATGGTGATGGATGATCCCACCCAACAACTTCATATAAATGCTGAACAGGAGCAGAAAGAGTACCGAGTCCTGAGGGACCCCGCAAAGCAGTGGGAAAGGGCTGGATCTCTCCCCTCCTATCATCGTTGACTGAGAGTGGCCAAAGAGGAAGGAAGTGAATCAAGATAGCACAGGGCCTCCTACTCCCAAAGCCGCTCAAGAAGAATGGTCAATGGAATCGAAAGCCACCAAGAGGTCGAGTAAGGATGGATGCACTAACCCCATCCCGCTCCTGCCAGAGATCAACCAAAAGCATGACCAATGCTGTTTCTGTCCCATATCCAGGCCTGAATCCTGACTGGTAGGGGTCCAGATAATCTGTTTCATCCAGAAACCTCTGGAGCTGCTGCGCAACCCACCTTCTCAACCACCTTTCCCAAAAAGGGAAGATTAGAGACAGGTCGGAAATTATCCAACAGGATGGAATCCAGTGTGGCAGACCACAACCTCCCTAAAGTGATGGGGCACTACTCCCTCCTGTAGGAAAGCATTAATCACCACCAGAGTTCACCTGCCTATCACCTCCCAGGAAGCTTTCACAAGCTAGGAGGGACATGGGTCTAAAACACAGGTGCTTGCATGCATACTCCCTAGGATCCTGTCCACTTCCTCAGGAGCAACAGGATCAAACTGTTCCCAGACAACAGGACAAAAACCTTCCTTAGGGGCTTCCCTCGGACCAGCAACCATGCCAGCATCTAATTGGGAATGAAGTTGAGCTATTTTGTTTTCCAGAAAATCCGCAAATTCCTCAGTGTGCCCCTTCAGGTGGACCTAAATCTCCTCCTTCCCCAGGAGGAGGAGGCTCACCTTAAAGAGTGTCGCTGGGCAATTATCTGCAGATGCAATTAGTGCAGCGAAGTATTTACACTTCATCACACAAATTGCCACAAGGTAGGCCTTAATAACAGCTCTTACCTATGTTCAATCGAGTTCATCCCTTGACTTCCACCACTGGAAGACATCTCTTCATCTGTCATCCCTCTCAGTTCCTCTATATACCACGGAGGGCAAAGAGGTTATGGGTGAGGAGAGGTTGCATGGGAACTTTATAACAATTAAATTTATTTGATACTCCCACAGAAGACTGGATATTAGTCATAAGATTGAAACAATTTTTGAGGCAAAGAAAGTCATTGGAAAAAATGTATGGAATGTTATAGGAAGCACAGAGAGTGGAGCTTATTGAGAACCTTAATTGCCCCACAAAGACCTTTACAATTACAACTTTTAGAACTACTAAAAAATAATCTAGGAACATTTGGGGGTGAAAGTCATTATTGTTTGCATAGCATTTTCAGGCTTCATAATAGTAAAAGAGAATCAGTTTCTGCATATGCAATTAAAGTCAAAAAGGTGGCTGGATGTTGCAATGTTGAGGAGAGAAATAAATACTGCCTTGAGAGATTAGCTATTCTGTGGACATGAAATAAAAAACTCAAAAAACTAGGATTCAACAGGGTGTATGGGTTTAAGAGTGTTACAGATATATTTATTTTATTTTATTTTATTTTATTTTATTTATAAAGTTTATTGGCCACTGATCTTAAAAGGGTAGCTCTGGGCGATTTACAATCATAAAAAACTATTTATATACATTAAAACATAAATAAGGTAAAACCAACCATTAAAATATATACTTGTGAGACATAAATCATCATAAACAAGTTTGTATTTAAACAACTTTAGGGCAAGCAGGTTGCATGTCCCACCAGGGAGTGGGAAAAGCCTAATATTGTTTCATTGCTATTGGCTTTATCAAATATGGCTGCTAGAGATACTACAGAATTTCAATTGGAAGTAAATATCAAAGGTGACATGAAACTAGCTCATATCAAAAAATAAATGCAAAATCATATCAATATTATTGGAGACTAGATTTGTTGTTTCAATTATACCACTACAAAATTTTGAACTGCTTTTCAGACAAGTTAAACTAAAACCATAAGGAAAACATTAAATCACATATTAGAGTTTAAGAACATTCTTCTTGGAATGATACCCATAACTGTAAAATTCAATAATCAGCAAGGTGTATTGGACATATATGTTGTGAAAATAGACAGAAGATCTCTCTTAGTTTATGACTTTTGTCAAGTGCAGAAATCAGGAAATCCAGGCAGTTCAAAAGAATATAAGGATTTATTGCAATCTTAAACTCCCTACAAGAATCTGAATTACTAACAGTCAAAGCAAATTGGCAGTAGATAGAATGGAATTCAAGGTGGGTTGATCTCTTATGGGTGAGAAGGAACTCTAGACCAATACAAAATGGAAGGAAATAGTTAACTCCATTATCCCCTCCTGGCAACTGGCAGTGCAGGTTTCCATAAAGTGACAGCTGCTAGCCACGCCTCAGCCAGCTTGTAGTGCTCTGACCCAGCAGCTAAAGGAAGACCTGAAGGAAAATGCATGGTTCAAAGTTCACAAAGATTAGCTGACGATGAGGGAGGACCTGGTATGGAAGGGAGATAAACTGTATATTCCAGCCAGCCAGAGGACCCAGATCCTACAAAGAAACCACGACGTAAAACCAGCAGGCCACTTCAGGTTTGTTCACTTGGCCAACAGGCAGTTCTAGTGGCCCAAAATGAAGAAAGACATAGAAAACTATGTGACCAGCTGCCCAGTGTGCGCATCCATGAAACAATTGCCAGGAAAGACTCCTGGCTTCTACAGCTGGCGGCCAACCCCAGCAGAGCATGGGAAGAAATCGCCATGGACTTTATTGTGAAATTGCCTGAGAATTAGGGGAGTACTGTGGTTTGGACAGTGGTGGACCTGTTTTCCAAGCAAACACACTTCATTGCGTGTCTGAAGGTTCCCTCAGCCCAGAGTCTGGCTAAGATGTTAGTGCAGCATTTATCGGCTGCATGGAGTCCCAAGATGCATCATTTCAGACTGGGGGAGGGTGCAGTTTACAGCAAAGTTTTGGAGGCAGTTTATAAAGCAAATAGGCTCAACCCAGGGGCTTAGTTTGGAGTTCCATCTGAGTATCAATGGGGTGGCAGAATGAACTAATGCAATAGTGGAGCAATACCTAGGTCAGTGATGGCTAACCTTTTTGCTGTCAAGTGCCGGGGGGGTGGGGTGGGGGAAGGTTCGCACGCGTGTGTGCCCACACCCATAATTCTATGCGCCCTGCCTTGCGTGCGCAACCCCCATCCCTCCCCCCGCTCGTGGCACACGATGGCCCATTTTTCTTTCTTACCTGGCTCCAGATCCTCACTATGCATCTGAGAAGGGCAAAAACAGCTTTTCCCACTCCCTCGGAGGCCCTCCAGAGGCCTGAAAGGGCCCATTTCCCAACTCCCAGTGGGACAGGAAGTGAGGTTTTTTGCTGTCCCCAGCCTCCAGATCCTCTCTATGAGTCTCTGGAGGCTGGGGATAGCAAAAAACATCACTTCCTGTTCCATCGGGAGTTGGGAAATGGGCCCTTTCAGGCCTCTGAGAGAGTGGGAAAGGCTGTTTTTACCCTCCGCAGATGCATAGAGAGGATCTGGAGCCAGGTAAGAAAGAAAAATGGGCCTTCCCCACTACCCCCCAGGCCCTCCAGAGGCAGGAAACAGCCTGTTTCCCTATTTCTGGTGGGCCCAAAAGGCCCGAAAATCAGCTGGCCGGCACGCGCATGCGCGCCAGAGCTGAGCTGGGGTGGCAACTGATATGGCTACGCGTGCCACCTGTGGCACACGTACCATAGGTTCGCCATCACGGACCTAGGTTGCTATGTAAACTATCAGCAAACCAACGGGGCGGAGCTCCTACCTTTCACAGAAGTGGCTTACAATAACTTGGTGCATAGTAGCACCCACTCACCCCTTTCAAAGTAACCACAGAAGTTGACTTTGTACCAATGCCAGAATTTCTGAAGGAACCCTCTCCCTCACTAATGTTAGCTGAATGGATGGACACCCTAAAAGTTGCTGGGGAAATGTGCAAAAAGCACAGAATAAAGCCAGAGAGTCAACCCCCCCCCCCAAAAAAAACCCCTAGGCAGATCGGAAAAAAGCCCTCCAGAAGAAGCTCCGGATTGGGGGAAAAGTGTACCTGTCTACTAAATACCTGAAACTGAACCTACCTTGTAAGAAGTTGAGTTTCCAAGTATATAGGACTGTTCCTAATGGTTCAAATTAGAAACCCAGTTACAGTGGAATTATGGTTACCGAAGGTGCTCAGGCGAGTATCCACCCAGTATTCCACTGTAGCTTGTTGAAACCCTTCCGAGGCTTTAAGTTAAGCAAGTTAAAGAGGAGCCTCCACCTCCCATTATAGTGGAGGGTGAGAAACACTATGAGATCAAGAAGATATTGGACTCAAGGTATTTTAAGGGGAGATTACAAAATTTAGTGCAGTGGAAACGATAGCCCTCAGCCGATGCTGAGTAGGTAGGGGCCCACAATATTAGCACAGGCAAGTTAGTAAGAAGGTTCCATGCAAAATACCCTCAACAGCCAATGAAATTGTTGAAGGCTAAGACTATCTAAGTAACAGTGTTAATCTATGTTTAATATTTTCCAGATGTCCTTTTCCTTCAGGTGGTTGACATGTCAAGATTGAACCACTTTGCTTCTTTCAAACCCTATTCAACTTGCCAATAAACTGGAGGGAGGAAAGAATGGAATGCCGAGAAATTATGCACAGATCATGAGAGCCTGGAAACCATCACGATCATCGCTGCATGTGCTTGAGAAGGAGGTGGACTGTTCCCATAGCAAAAGGACATTTCATAATCAGGACTAGGGAGAAAGGGAAGCTATTGTTTAACTAGGTAAACATTTGCACCGGAAAACCAAAGCTGATTTTGATTCTTCAGTACCAAAATGAGATATCCAATAAAGTTTTATTTTTGGGAATTCAAAGCTTCCGAGAGTGTTTCCTTATTTTGGGTTCATTAGTCAGACAGTTGATAATAACATTATTCAGAGTTCCACACCTGAGGCAGACATCTATCAAAAGTGCTATAGAACATAACTTCAGAACACTTGCTTATACTTTAAAGGTAATTTGGCCAGATGGCTTCCTTTAATCAGAAGAGAATTCTAGCTTCTGCTGCTCAGTTTAAAATGTGTAATAAAATGAACTTTATTTAATTTTCTAAAATAACTAAAGCAGAGTGACATTAATTAAAACTTAATTACAGCATAATGAATCACATTCAGAATAGTAAGGCAACTGTGATAATCACTGATTATCCTCCTGCCTGTATTCTGTTAACTTCAAACTGTAGTATTCCCCTTCAGTTAAGAGAGGGACTTTCCTCGGATTCTCTTTCCATCAACACTACAGCTAAGATGCCTTTAGGGTATTGTTAAACTTTTTTATAGACAGAACTATCCATTAATTGCTTTTCAACTAGAGACCCTTTCAAACTTTCCTACCTTCTGTAGGACACTTGACCCACTTCAGAATGGCCTTTAGAAAACAAAAATATGTTTGGTACTTTATTCAATTGTTTTGGTTCTTGATTGCCTTTTAAAATTGCATAGGATAAACCTGTAATTTGTTAGTAATTGTTTCATTTCCCAACACAGCAGGTGTACTTAAGCTCTAAGGAAGGACTGGGGCATTAGTTGCTCCCAGCCTAACCTTTACAGACCTAAAAAAGGTCGCTGAACTCTTTTTGTTAAATATGCCTTTTTAAACACAAGGATCTTTGCATATTGGAATTCTCCTTTTAAGAGAAAAAGCTAATTTGTGTTTTCTATGGGTACCTTATATGGAGTGCTCCTTTTCATTGAAACAAACAAACAATTTCTCTTATGTTTGATTTTTGACTGATGCCAATAAACAACTGAGACTCTGGCAAGCTTTTGGATTATTCTTGTTTCTTGATATTTTATACAGTTTTATATAGTTGGCCTCATTTAGAGCATACAGACTGCAGCGTTCACATCGTAAGCAACATTGATGTTGCATGTGCAAAGAGATATGTGCAAAGAATAGAATAGAATAGAATAGAATAGAATAGAATAGAATAGAATAGAATAGAAGCTGGAAGGGACCTTGGAACTCTTTTAGTCCAACCCCCTGCTCAAGCAGAAGAACCTATATTATTTCAGATAAGTGACTGTCTAGTCTCTTCTTAAAAACCTCCAGTGATGGAGCGCCCATGATTTCTGAAGGCAAACTGTTCCACTGGTTAATTGTCCTCACTATTAGGAAGTTTCTCCTTAATTCCAGGTTGGTTATTTCTGATTAGTTTCCAATCACTGTTTCTTAACCTGCCCTCAGTTGCTTTGTTGAATAATTTGACCCCCTCTTCTTTGTGGCAGCCTCTCAAATACTAGAATACAGCTATTATGTTGCCCCAATTCTTCTTTTCTTCAGACTAGCCAAACTCAAATCCTGCAGCCATTCTTCATATGTTTTAGTCACCAGGCCTTTGATCATTTAACTGCTCTTCTCTGAACTTTTTCCAAAGTCTCAACATCTTTTTTTTGTAGTATGGTGACCAAACCTGAATGCAGTATTCCAGGTGTGGTCTTACAAGGTTTTATAAAGTGGTACTAATACTTCAGTGGTGGGTTGCTCCCGGTTCGCACCGGTTCGCAAGAACCGGTAGTAAAAAATTTTAATAGTTCGGAGAACCAGTAATAAGATTGGGTGGCCACGCCCCCGAACCGGTTCCCGGCCCAGTCGCCGTTCACTTACCATGCCCACTCCCAATCTATTGCTGCCTCCTGAGTCCCAGCTGATGGCTAGAGGGAAAAAAGCTGTTTAAACTCTTGCCGCGGTGCTTCAAAGGGCCGCCCTACAGGTGATCAGTGTTAAAAGAAAACAAATGAGTAGACCGATGCCTGCAAAAATAAATGGGTAGACCCAGTGGTGGGATTCTACTTCGGTAGAACTGGTTGTTCAGTAATTAAGTAGTTAAGCCAGTGGTTGCCAAAGTGGGCGGTACTGCTCCCTGGGGGGGGGATGCCTAGGGGGCAGTAAGAGGCAAGAGGGGTGGCAGGGGGCGCTAGAAGCAAAAGGGGGCGATGGGGGGGCTAAGTGGAAAGGAGGGTGGCCCCCACCCTTTGGCCTGTGCCTCGCAGCACTTACCTCCTTGCAAGCAAATAGCAAGAATAAACAGCCCCTTTCAGCTTCAGCATAGGTTAATTAGCACAAGTTGATTAGATCGGCCTCCCGACTCTCAGCTGGTTTGCTCTGTTGCTAGCTGCAAAGTGCTGGAGCAGATTTTTTTCCCGGACGACTGAATTCTGGAAAATTATACAGGCATGGATCATGGAAATCACAGGTTATAACCTAATTCTGAAACCAGAGTACTATCTACTGAACATTAGGCCAGACAACATAGGCACAAATATATGGTGTCTGTGTGTATTTATCACCACGTCAGCAAGAATATGTTTTGCCCAACATTGGAAGGGGAAAGACCTGCCGGCTGAAGATTTGATTTTGGAGAAAATTTTGGATTATGCGGAAGCCGACAGTTTGACTAAAGCATTGAGAGATCAAAAGGACTCCGTATATTTCCAATGTTGGGACAAATGGTACGTTTGGTTGAACAACAGACGCCCAAAAAGTCAAGTATAACCAGGATTATGTTTAATATATGTTAAATCTGACTGAAGCCTACATACCGTAGAAAGTGTAAATATCATGTAAAGTTCCTGTCGCGATCATTTGTTTGACTATTTCTTTTTTTTTTTTTTGATGTATTGTTTTAAATAAATAAAAAAATTTAAATTAAAAAAAAAAGAAGAAAAGAAAGATTAGAGATGAGGATGAAGGGTAATATTAGGAATAAATATGGCAAAAAGGAAATATAGAAATTGAAAATTTAATTGAAATGACTAAACACTGTTTAAATTTGTGAACCAGCCAAATACTCTGTTCAAAGAAAATACATTGTATGTTTGTATGTGTGTTTCTAATTATTGCTATTTATTCATATTTGTTCTCTTTTATTCTTTAAAGTTTAACAATTCATTCTTTATCTTAGTATCTTTATATTTGTTTGGGGTTGCCTTTCTTCCCTTTCATCTTTTTTATTGTACAGCAATCTTTCTCCTCAAACCTACCACCTCTCTCTTTTCTTTCCTTCTTACTTTCCCTTCTCCCCCTCTTCTTTTCCTCCCTACTTCCTCTTCCTTTCTCCTTCTCCTCCTCTCTTCCTCCCTCTTACCCTCACTCCTACTCTAATTTCCCTTCCCTTCCTTCCTTCCTCCCTTCTCTTCCTTCCCTCTCTCTCCTTCCTTCTTCCATCTCTCTTCTCCTTCCTTCATCCCTCTCTATTGCTGTATCCTTTTGTGCATATGGACTACTCAGAGGGCTGAAAAAGTTATTTTTGACTGCTCCTCGCACTTTTGACCAGTCCTCAAATTTACGACTGTCCTCACATTTTACGTTTTTGCCCTATCTTGTCATCATGATGAAGAGAAGCAGTTGTAAAATGAGTGACACGGTTGTTAAAAATGCTACAATGGGCATAAATGATGACCAGTCATAAGTGTGAGGACTGGTCAAATGTGCGAGGACCGGTCAGAAACCACTTTTTTCAGCCCTCTGGGTAGTCCTTTTGTGCATATGGACTACTCAGAGGGCTGAAAAAGTTATTTTTGACTGGTCCTCACACTTTTGACCAGTCCTCAAACTTACGACTGTCCTCACATTTTACATTTTTGCCCTATCTTGTCATCATGGTGAAGAGAAGCAGTTGTGAAATGAGTGACATGGTTGTTAAGAATGCTGCACGGGCATAAATGTGAGGATGGTCATAAGTGTGAGGACCAGTCAAAAGTGCAAGGACCTGTCAGAAACGACTTTTTTCAGCCCTTTGAGTAGTCCCTATACACATAGCCATGGCCACCCAGTCACATGACCAGCTAGCCACGCCCACCCAGTCACATGACCTCCAAGCCATGCCCACAAAATAAGCCGCACCCACAGAACCGGTAGTAAAAAAATTTAGAACCCATCCCTGTAATACTTCACGTAATTTTGATTCTATGCTTCTGTTTATACAACCTAGAATTGTATTAGCTTTTTGGCTGCTGCTGCGTACTGCTGGCTCATATTCAAGTGATCATCCACTAGGACCCCAAGCCCCTCTCACAAATACTATTTTTGAGCCAGCTCTTGCCTAATCTGTACTTGTACCTTTTTTCCTGCCTAGGTGTAAAACCTTGCTTTTCTCCATATTAAAATTCATTTTGTTGGATAGGGCCCTTTGTTCAGGTTTGTCAAGATCTTTTTGGATCCTGAGCTTTTCTTGTTGGCTATTCCTGCCACTTTAGTGTCATCTGCAAATTTGATGAGTTCCCCTTCTATTCCCTCATCTAAATCCTTAATGAAGATATTGAAGAGTACTGGGCCTAAGACGGAGCCTTGTGGTACCCCACTGCTTACTTCTCTCCATGTGGATGTAATACCATTAAGGACTACTCATTGAGTACGGTTTGTCAGCCAGCTACAAATCCATCAGGTGATGAAGTTGTCTATTCCACCTTTTTATAGCTTACCAAGAAGTAGGTTGTGGTCTGCTTTGTCAAATGCCTTGCTGAAGTCTAACTATACAATGTCCACAGCATTTTGCTGGTCTACTAATTTGCTTACTTTGTCAAAGAATGAAATAAGATTGGTTTGGCATGATCTGTTTTTAACAAATCCATGCTGGCTACTAGTTAAAAAATTATTTGCTTCTAGTTGTTTGAAGATCTGTTTCTTGATTATCTTTTCCAGGATCCGATTGGTCTGTAGTTTTCTGGGTCTGTTTTTTCCCTCCTTTCTTGAAGATGGGAACCACATCAGCCCTTTTCTGATCCTCAGGCACTTCCCCGTTGCTCCAGGATTTTTGAAAGATATGGTACAATGGTTCTGAGATAACATCTGCCAGCTCCTTCAGAACTCTGGG